CCCCCCCCCCCCCCCCCCCCCCACCACCCTCAACCCTTGTTCATCGGGCCGCTGTCCGCTGCTGCCTGCCTCCTGCGATGCTCTACTGTGGCAAGAGTTACGCAAATTGCTGCGCTGGCGGCAACGGTTGTAAAATGTTATTGAGCACACACGAAGCATGAAGCATTTCGAGCATGGGGTACAAGGCGACGAGCCACGACAAATATGCGGTTAACTGCGGAAGGGGAAACGTCTCGAAATGTGGGGTCGTGGCATGGGCATGGGTAGGCCGCATTACGGCCTTAATTTTCAAAAGAAGCTTTGATTTACCATCCCAAGGAGGGGGCAGGTGGCAAGTGCAGGGGCAAGGGCACGGGAGAGGGCCCGGGAGAGGGCAAAGGGCAGCGTACCAAAGGGCGTTTGCCCTTTATTGTCAAGTATAAAACGTTATGGCCATGAAAGGAATTCCACCTGCGGAACCAGCGGCTAAAACAGTTATTTGCACTTGCCCCCGAATGTGCCGGTTACGTGCCGAATCAATTGAATGACGGCTGTGCCAGTGCGCCACCCCCCATCTCCACTGAGGATTGTCAGTGGGGCAGGGTCGAGAAGAGAGCGCTGTGCTGTGCTGTGCTCTAAAAGGGGGCAACCATAAAACGTTGGCACAGTGTAGTAGGCGACCAGTTCTGTAGTTACACATAAATCATTTAAGTCTCAACCCGCAGTACACAGCTCCTCCTCGTGACTCCTCCCGTTTCTATGCAAAATGTTTACTTAAATGTTTGGGTTGGCGTTGGGCCTGTGTCTGGGTATTGGTAGTCCTCCTTCCTGGCCATAAAATTCTTGTAAATTCGTGACAGGGGACTAGGGGGGGACTCGCACCTGCCACGCATGCCAAATGAACTAAAGAGATCTTTGAGAGCAGCACAGCAGCAGCCACAGCCACAGCAACAGCAACAGCAACAGAACAGGCTTCATGAGCCTTAGCTCCCCCACGCACAAATGATGCATATTTGATGCTTGTTTTACATATGCCAACAGCCATGCCATGCCATCCCATCCCATCCAGGGGACGACACATGCTCACGAAAACACAGGGAACAGAGACACTCTGATAGAGAGAGAGAGACAGAGAGTGTGGTGGGGAGGTATGGGAGGATGGCACAAATTTGTCACTGACAATTTTCATTAATTTAAAAAGCCAAATAAATTTTGGCAGCATTCAACCGCAAAGACACGCACAGAGATGTTGATAGGAAGGAAAAAAAGGGGCAGGCTGGAGATGTACCCTTTTAGATCTAATATATAAGCTGCAGAAATAATTTATTCATGTTTGATCTGTCAATATATTTTAGATTGTAGAAGATATTTCCACAAGAACTTGGATCGTACATATGTTTTATTTATTCATTAGCTTTATGCTTCATGCTTTATGCTCTGGTATAAATGAAGCACTTCAACTCTGCAAACTGTTTCGATGCTGGGTAGCCTCTTGACGCACGCACTTGAATATCATTAAAGAGTGGTTAGGAATAAGAAAGAATAAGAAAAAACGGTGAAAGAAGGAGTGAAATAAGCAGTGAAAAAAAGGGTGGAAATCAGCAAGGCAGCGCCAGCAGGTGTGGCACCGTCACACCCACACGCACTTCAACCGAAGACAACCAACCAACCACCTGTCCAACCGCCCACACAATCAGATTTTAAGCAGCTCCAGAACCTCCATGCCACCACAAAGTCACCCGTCAGCTGCCACCCCCCGTCCACAAACAGTTGTGTCAAAATGAGTGGAAAATTCAAACGAATAAAATGTTGATATTTCGCAGAATTACAATATGTATGGAAATGCTCATATATTTTGGCTGACTTACAAAATCAAAAAGAAATTCTGTAACATTTTGCAGTCTTTAATGGGAGTGGAAAAGGGCCTTTAACTGATGATGACTTTTGGTTCGGTAAAGGGGTTTTCTGCATTTCGGTAATGCTATAAAAAGGGGCAAACATTCTACTCTTACTTGGAAAAACATACAGGGGGAAAACTTCTACCTCATTTTTTTTTGTTTTTTTCTCTCAGCTTCCAGGACAACACAGCCTTTTGGCTTCCGCTGGCATTTATTCTAGCATAACTTTTTGAGTAGTTTTCCCATGGAAAGAGCACAACAGAGTGGCGCGTGGGGGTTGGGACATTTTGGGGTCAAAGAACTAATGAAATGAAAACTCATTAAGCAACAACTTTATAGCGATTTGTTGTTGTGACACGGTTACTCCTTTTAACATCCGATGGATGTCTGCTGCTCTCCTGGGATGACACTCCACAGCGACTGACTGCGTGGCAGAACACACAAAAACACACACTCGTATAGTTGAAAAGTTAGCGGATCCTTTTTGCCAGCATTCATGGCAATAATTTGATGGCACAACGAGGACAACTCCACTATGTCAGGTGTAGATAGTGCTACAGTTACTACAAGGTCTTTGGACACCACTTTGGAAGGATCCATCGTTGCTCCAATTGCAGCTTCGACAGCAACGCACTATGGTCCCAATGACTACTTTTATTGGCCAAAAGGTAATTTTTAAAAGTGAAAACCAAGACGTGGTTTTTGGCGCTCTGTATTAATAAAATTTTTTATCCAGTGGCTTTTGACTACCTGTTTTGTAAAGTGAACAATATCTAGTAGTTGCCGATGCCTTCGTAATTGCATGCTTAAGTGAGGCCTTCAATATGTATCAGTTAGCAGTAAAAACTAATTTTTGAAAAAGGTTTTTTTAATAGAGTGCCACCTAGTCCCACCTTGAAACCTATTGTGTGTCGTAGAGCAAGAAATGATTGTTAAAATGTATATAGTCAGAAATGCCACATTTTACCACAACTCTCACAATTGGCATTTATAGATCATAACCTCAAATGAGAAATGTCAATGTTTTTTTTGCAGTTTGGACACAATGTAGAAGAAAATTGTGAAGTAGGGTGCCATATTGCATTGCATTTAAGCCACAGTATTAGTCACTAGCTATTTTGAAGGGCTAGAGTTTGATAACCAGTGTAATACTGTTTTATAATGAAAACTCCTATGGAGAATGCTTTGTGGGACAAAAAATTCGATTATATTGTATTTTAAAGCTGTTTTAATTCGCGCTATGACTTTTTTTATAGAATCTAGCACTGCTTAACATATTCCCATCCTTTTTTTGCTTCTAACGTTTTGAGAAAAATAAATAAAAACAGATTTTTTCCTTTAAAAAACAGGCCCCTTGCTATTCTTAACTAATATCATAAAACGAAATCCAAAAATCTTGATTCGTTCGAGAGTTATTAATTAAGGACACGAAAAGTGGTCATTGGGACCATAGTGCAACGCAAGGGCATAAAAAACAGCACCAGGACATAGCACAATGTAGGGGCATAAGCAAGAGGAGGAGCAGCAGCAGCAGTTGAAAGCCATTTCATGCTGATGTTGCGTTTTCATTTCGCGCAATTTTGGCAGCAACGCCCCCAAGTCCTGCTGGCTCCTGCTGGCTCCTGCTGCTGCTGCTGCTCCTGCTTCTGCCGGCTGTTAATTTTCTTTGATGCCGCAGCGCGAATTGAATTAAATTCTATTAAAAAAGTCGCCCGAAAATAAACGAATACATGCACAGCCACAGACACACACACACACACACACACACACACACACAAACACACACAGGGGAAAAGAGATAAAAGTATTTTTTGAAAATAAAATAAAATTTCATCCGAAACTCAATCTGGCAAAATGGGGCAATGGGAAGAGGGGGGTATACATAGACAGACACTCACCTGCAAATTGGGCGGACAATGATCCAAGAGCTCCAGCATATGTTTGATATTCTGCGCATCCTGTATCACAAAATTCAATTCCATATCGAATTCACCGCCGACCAACTGGAAAAAAATGAGATAAAGAAATTAATAAAAATATTCATGTGGGAAAAACTGTACGTAGATACGCTAGAAAATGTTGATAAAACTGTTTTCAACAATTAGTGCCACAGCAAAATATCAATTTAAACAATTTTGAATATAATCATGTTTTTCTTTTATCTTTTTTTATTTGAATCTCTCTCTCTCTTTCTCGGCTAAAAATACCATAACAAAAAGCAGCATCAGCAGCAGATTTGTAATTGCTTAAGTTTTCAATTGAAAATAATGTTTGTTTCAGGATACCAGGAGGAGCGGGTCTCGTCGCCCACTCCACTCCACTCCACGCCCTGCCACTCGGCGTGTTTGAATCACATTTTCAGCTCAACAAAACTTCCTCTGGAGGGTTGGGCCATGGAGAGCGCTTTCGTAACAATGTATGAACACTGCACACCGATAGGAATAGATGCCTAACAGATTTGTGTGAGCTGTACAACGTTCCATTCAATTCTCTCCTATTTCTATCGAATCCCATGTTTCTCGAGAGAATTATTAAGAGAGAATAAATTAATTTTAAGATGCAATTCAAATGTGCACCCCCCTGTTCCCAGAAGATTAGCTCTTCAGTTCGCATAATTTATGTTATTTATTCTCATGTTTTATTATTTTTGTATTTTATTCTCATTGTCCAAGTGGAATTTATGTTGAAAAATTCCTAAGTGGTTTTTCTGCTCTCAACTTAAAATCTGTACGATGGGTAATCATCTGACTTTCATGGCTCTATTTATGGAAAACGCCAGCTCCACCATTTCCATTACCCACGCTATAGCATCGCTTTAACACCAAACCTCTTGGGTTTCAGCCCCCGGGGATGGGTAGAATGGGAGTCGAGATGTTGGATGGCGAAAGGAAGAAGGGATTATCATTTAGCGAACCATTTGCTTGCATCAAGGCTGTTTTCGGGTAAAGCCTCTCCATCTTTCCAATGCCTCCCTGCTCCAATTCCAATTCCACTCCCACTCCCACACTCACTCTCTCTCTCTCTCTCTAGAGCTCTCATTCTGTTTAGTTTTTCGTGGGCTTAGTCTAAGGACAGATGGAGTGTGTTAAATGCTTGAGCGTGTCATAGACACATCCTTGTGGCAGAGAGCAATCAGAGTGCCCTTTCAGCAGCGGCAACAATAACAATCGACAGTCAAGAGCAGGAGTGGGTGGTGGTGGTGCCTGGTGCCTGGTGGCTTGTGGCATGCGGAATGGGTGGTTGAGCCTGAATCACGTCACAAACGCAAGGCGAATGAAATGGCGGCGCAAAAAAAAAGGTTCTAACTTAATTATGCCAGGCGCCAGCGAAATCTACTTGCCACGAGCCCCATCATGGAGGTCATTTTCATGGCCACGCCCCGCTCGATGGGCTGTCAATAGATATTTTGTCTGTCGAAAAATGGTTTTCCTTTTTCGTTTCCAGTTTTCTGCCGAATGCTTTTTGCGCGCTTTAATAAAATCAGCAAAATAAATTCAATAAATTGATTAGAAAGAAATGGCAGATAAAGAGAGGCAGAGACTGTCTCTCTCTCTCTCACTCTCTCTTTCTCTCTCCCTCACACACAAGTGTTACAAGTGGCTATCCTTTGCGCTCATAGACAAAAATCTCCAACTGTATTTATGTCTATTTTTGTTTGTTTTTCTCGCTTTTACTTTTATTTTCGTCTTCCTTCGTTTCTTTTAGTAAGGAGTTTCCCTTTTTTGGCATGGGGGAACGGCGTCCGCCAGCATGGCGCCAGGATTTCAATGTAGACGTCGCTCTCTCGCTCTCTTTCGCTCTCTTGCTCTGGGTGCCACAGCTTTATGTTGTGTGGGTGCACTTGAGCTTGTTTATAATTATGTGGCACGGGTTTATCTTACCGCTTAGTGCTACCCGGCTTTGCTACTCCTGCCCTAAGGGGCATTTAACCACATTTCCTGGCCGAAACTCATTTGTCAAAAGTAAAAAAAGTAATATTTTTTTAACAGATATACATAGGAATAACATCAGTCCGTCATGTTACGTACCCAAACAATTAACAGTACCACTGTTAAGATAACAGCTGTTAAAGTCAGCTGTTGCTACGAACGATAGAAAGTTTTCGGAACACTGATTTTGTTCATTAAGTTTAAAGTGCAAAAATTGATAAATTAACCAATTTAGGTTAATTTTTTACAATATTCTCGATTCAGGCAGGTATTAAAAAGGTGTAAAAAATTGACCTCATAATATGTTTAATGGCTAGTTTCTTAACAAGTCCATATTTTTGAAGAAAATTTGTCTTTGAATAGACTTGCAAAGTGTTCGGTTCTCGCCGGAAGCATTAAACTGCATAGATATTGTAGAGTATTCAATTCTTAATCCAATTTATGTTATTTTTTCTTGCGCTGTTCTGCGTCTTCGCAGATATTTGAGTTTTGGTAACAAAACCTAAAGTTTGGATTTTTAGAGTTGTTTGCAATGTTAAACTGGGTGAAGAAGAAAATTGCAGAAGAAGATGCCGATTTGCATTGAATTTAAGTGTTAATACCTGTCACTAGCCTTGAGAACGATAAGAGTTATTTGTAGACCCTTCGAATAACTTTTTTGTACAGTTTGTCGATTAAATTGAACATTTTCACGGACGAACTTGAAACAAATCGAAAAAAACTTTCGTGCTCAATTGTACAATTATAATAACGTTGAGACATTTCCAGTATCTCTGCACTGCCGTGCAGTGCTATTGTGTCCCACATTCAACAACTCAAAGAGAAGAAGCTGCTTGCAGTATACAAGAAAGTCAATGTAAACACCCGATTATCTTCTACTTTTCCATTTTTAAAATCCGGGCACAACTTTTTAAGTAAAATATGGCATTGCTTTACATATTCTCATCATTTTTCGTTTGATTCAATTTAAAAATAAAATAAAAATTCGATTTTGCCCTGAAGAAAAGGCGGTGGCATTTCAGCAAACCTTCCTTTCCCTATTATATACTCATATAAAAAAACTAAATAAAAAAATATTGTTTCGTTTGGATGTTATTAATTAATGCCACAAAAAGTGGTCAAATGCCCCATAGTGCTCTTGGTCGCATGTTCGCCGCCTGATTCCTTTCTGTGGCTTATGGCCACGACCAGCGGCAATGCGATTTGCCTTATCACCTGGCAACAAACAGCATTGACAGCTGGAAAAACTCCTGCAAAAACTGGCAACAATATGGCCAACAATCTGTGTTGCGGGAAACATTTCTCGCCTCTCCTGCCTCATTCGATGGCAATGAAAACAAGCAAAAGATCTCTAAGACTTGGATTAGGAAGCAATTTATAATGGTCTCCCTACAGCATGGAGTAGCCTGCTACAATCCTCCACTCTTCACTTTCAGTCTGCAGCATGGGCTTCAGAAATGCCTTTTCCCTTTGATTTAAATGAAAACTCTACTGAAATGATTTAAAGGCGTTTCACGAAATATTTTCAAACATCTCCAGACACACATTCCAATTTCGAAACGTTTTTCGGTGCGACAATATCCACATATATGTATAACTACCATTTGATGAGCTTCGGCATCAAGAACCTCCAAACCCAATAGATTCCCACCAAAGAAACCTTTTTACAGCAAAGTAATTTTACACAAATTCAAGCAAACAAATTCCGATTACGTATACCCCAACGATGTCGTGGAAAACTTTAAACCGAGCCCCATAATCATCAGCATCCAACGAAAGGCAAGTACAGCGAGGGTGGGAAAAATGCTCATTCATATTTAAATTAAACTTTGTGGAAAAGTTTTGTCGTGGCGGTGGTGGCTCTCCGACTACGACTTCCATTCCATACGTCCATCCCATTCATCCGACATCCACTGACTGCCCCCCAATTAGGACGGGGAGTGCCCGTGCCAAGCCATGCCATGCGGAGGGAGGGTTGGGTTGGGTCTTAGTACAAGCATTTTAAACGCCGCTTAATTATATTCGTCGCTTGTTCTTATCGGCTGAAAAGCCTCTCCCCCTCTCCCCCACCTACATTTCCCCTGGGAGCTTCTGCTTCGCACCTTTTTTTCTAGAACATTTAGTCAATTTTAAGTTCATTTTGAAAACGTTTTTACTTTTATATTTCTTTGGTGCCGCTTCGCTTTTGCTCGCTTTTTACTCGCTTTACTTTTTTTTTGTACTTTTTGCTGCTGCTGCTTTAGAGTTTCTTCGTTTCATTTGTGCTGTGGAAACTCTGGCATTGACGTGTCGCCTGCTTGTCACCTTGTTATCCCCACCACACCAGCACCCACACACACACAGCACCTGCTTGGCTGCCACTCCTTGTCGCTTATTTAAAGTAAATTGAATTTCTATTTTATTTAAAATGCGCATTGAGACGCACTAAAAGTTCCTCAAGTGGCAGCGTTTTGTGGGTCCCTCGAGATGTGGCCTGGTGTGGGGTGCAGCAAGTATGGCAATGGAAATGTCAGTGGGTGAGTGAAAAGCGAATGGCAAGAATAAATGGGTGACAGCGATTGAATAAAGCGGGGAGAGACCGAGAATTGTTCTTCCTTCTCCTTTTGTTTTCGACTTTTCACACGTTTTTGTCTTTGTCTTTTACTTGTTTTCATTTCATTAATTTTGTATATCTACAATTTGTAGATAAAATATAATTTAAACCAGTCGAAATATAAATCCGAAAAGTGAGTTTCTCTAGCATTTAGATTGCTCTAATAACAGCGTTTCAAAGAGCCAAAAATGATCCGATGGCAAAGTGTTGTCGTAGCTATGATTATTCTTTGTGTCATCAAACAAATGGATACTCGATTAAAAGATAAATTTAATTCATTTTCAACATATGGAATGCATTTAAAATGGAAATTCGAGCGAATCGCTTTGAATAAAAATCTAATACAATCTAATGCAAAGCAATTATCCTATTTATTTTATTGTTAAATAAATCAGTCGCTAAATAAGTTTAAAGAAATGCATTGCCCATAAAGCTGCTAGTCCCATTTGAGTGTTGATCTTACCCAGAAATAACCTGCATT